AAGGGAAAAGGGCTCAAAACAACCAGAATTGAAGCATAGAAACTTAAACTCAATTCATTCAACACTCTATTTGATCATTAGGCAACGAAAAATTGACCTACTTTCGGATTGTGATTCTGCAGGTGGTTTAGTATGTTTTAAGGGCACTCTTCAGAGCAGGAACAGGAGCAGGAGCAGGAGCAGGAGGAAGAGGTGTAGTAGTGCTGGTGACATCTCCATTGGCGGAAGATGGCGGCAGCCAAAAGAGGCAAATCTTCAAACAAGTCTCTGACCATTTTGTGATCTGCATTTGTATCTATAAACAACCCAAAGAAGACTATAGTTATTGAATGTTTTTGAGATGCAGGACATCAGATGATGATTTTGGTCTCTTACTCGAAGATGACATCGAAGTCTCCCCTTACTATTACCTATGGATTAAATATGCTCTCTTGGCATACCACTATGACCCTCAAATATCACTCTCTAAGCTCTCCTCCATCTCTCTTTACACGCCACGTTTGGTGGAAGTTGTCAAAGAAAGGCATAAATGAAATGCAATTGAGTTCTTCAAACACATTCATCCAAACACATCATATCTTCATCAACTGCCTTGCAGTTGGGGCGCAGTGTTTTTCCCCCAAGCAATGGAAAGAGTTTTACGTCTACATGAACATGAGATTCACGAAAGATTCAAAGCAAAATCCGTACAGACACCAAAATCAAGAACTAATGAATGGCAAGCTTCATGGAAGAAGTTCTTGATAGACATGATGTAGTTAAGAGGATACGTTACCCTTTATCCGAACTTTCCAAATCAAATGAGCTTTTCGACAAAGCATATGGAACCAAGAGCTCACATAGCAGCTAACAATAATTTAGTTAAACATAACAAGGCAGATTTTGAGGTGTCATTACTAAAAGAAGACTTCAAGAACGTCTTACGTAATGGGAAAATGCCTCAAGCTTCGAAGTTACCTTCGTTGAATCTCTTTAATCAACTTGTTTCATTAAAAGGCTTAAAGACAGCAGGAGCAAAACTTAGGACAGACGTACTATAATGTAGTCTAACGGAGATAGTATCGTTCACCACGATACAGGTTTACCATCACATTGTGCAAGATTCTGATTACAAATTACAATTCTTTTTATTTATGTGATTTGTGTCAATTACATCATTTACCACTTCAACTTCAATGTCCTTTCCACCAAAGTCGTTGACTCATAGGAATAGATGGTGCATGTAATTTCCTGCACTTTACCTCTAATGACATGTTTCTCATCACCTAGAACAGTTCATTCTTCTTTTTCTTCATTTTTTGTAGTGTATTTTTACATAAGATTAATTATATAATAATGATCAACAAAAATCTATTCTTGATAAACAATATATCGTTTCTCAATTATTTGAATTTTAGGCGTAATTTGTATTACCCGAGAACTTTCAATAGTAACATGAAAGTACAGAAAGCTTAACAATCTAAAACAGCAAATACAACTCAGTCTAATATTAAAAAGTGCGTAACAATCACCTTCGATAGACCTTTATAGAATGAAACAGGTCACTATGTTTTGAAAACAATTGTCTTTTCCATGAAAAATCTTAAAGCTCCTTTTAATATGCTCGTCGATGTTATAGTTGAAACCGCAAGAGGAAAAACTGTGCAACTTTTATTGTATAAATAATTAGTTGACTCGAGAACTTGTTTCACAATTTGTTTCTATTTTGACTAAAGGTTGCAATTTAAACATTACCTTTATTGTTTACTTGATTAACACTAATTAATATTTTTTACAATAGAAAACACACTCACCATAAATTTGAAAATAAGTCCTGCAAATTCATCAAGAAAAAGTATAACCGCAAAGTAAACATCACAAAAATCCTAAATTACTTAGTATACTTAAATCATTGAGCCCTTCTCCTTTCATTTAATTTTAGCACAAAGAGGTTTATGTAGTGAACTTATACCAAGAGGGGAAAAGTCGAAGGAAAGCGAAAATCGAATGACTTTCACAGATTGACAAAATATAAGTGTATTACGTACTAACCTTTGAAAATTTTGCTAACATTGACTTCCTCTATGCTCTTCGAGTTTTCCTAATGCAATTGACAACTATAAAATTGACAAAAAGAACAGTCACATGTAAAGAATCTGTTAACAAAAGAGCCAAAACACTTGAGTAAATTCTACTTTATTCTGTGAAAGCTTCTCACCGATATTAGAGCAGAACTAAACCCTAGGAACTGAAACAACACATCCATTAGAACGGAATGTTATCGCAGATAGAAATCACGGGAGAGCGCAAACAGAGAGAATGGTGAAAGAAAAACTCAGAGAAGAACGAACTGAGAGAGTCGCAGAACAAAGAAAGGAAAAGGCTGGACATTCGGTCCTTTCATTGAAGAAGTGAAGAACTTCGTAGAAGAGAAAAGTCAGGAAGAATATTGTTATCACACTTGTAGTACACGTGTTGCCATAAAAATAATATAAAGTAATAAGATAAAATTAGTAAATTATCCTTAAAAGAATACAACTATTGGTGCATTTTGTACAACTGCATATAGCAGTGTTCGTATACCCTCAAGTGCTACTAATAATTAAGATAAAGAAGATAAAGATTGGGATAAAGAAGATAAAGATTGGCTGGCTAAGTATAAAAAGACAAGACACGTGTGACCAAATAGAGTACAGATGTCTCTATTACAATGAATTGGCCAAAAGTAATCTTGACAATACCAAAAATGTCCTTATTTGTCTCATCACATTTTCAGCACAAGGTACAATTATTTTAAGCTATGTTAGTCCTTTAGAAGTGGCACTTCTAAATAAGCACAAGATACAATTATTTTAAGCTATGTTAGTCCTTTAAAAGTGTCACTTCTAAATAAGGGTAATATAATTAGTAAAGTAAAGTAAAGTAAAGTAAAGTAATTTGCATCACATCCAAACAAGGTGTTATAAATTCCGATGCTGATGTGAGTGATTAACAATAGTTCCAATTTCTTATCTTCGCCTCTCTCCGGTACGGCCTTCGGATTTTGATTTATTATTTTTTTAAGTCTGGAAACGCCTTTATCTTCCCGAATTTGATAAATTTTATGGATTTTTTTGGTGAGATTTTGATGAAATTGTAGTTTTATAGAACCCAGATTTGTTAGCTGTAGCATGTCTACAATGAGTTCAATTGAATCCTGTGTTTTTCGGCAGATAAATAGGTAAAAAAATCACTACAAGCTCAAAAAATATTGTTTTTGAATCTATTATTTGTTTTTTCTCTCGGAGTTTTCATGTGTAAGTTGAGGATTGAAGAATTCCAGAACAATTTTTTGTAGAGGGAAATGCTCTATATTTTCACTTTGTTCAGCTAATCATTATACTGAGTTTTATGTAGTCTATTTGAAATTGTCAATGTGAAGAACAATTGCAAACTTTAGGTGTACTGTATTATCTATTTGATTCAAATTATCTAAAATCTGCGATGTGTATTTTTAAGTGCTCACCCACGACTCAGGCCAGGGGCGGGGTCGTGGAGCTAGGTGGATTCAAGAGGTTCAGTTGAATCTCATTTGTCAGATGATTATGATAGGTAAATAGGGGGGAAACAAATGTTTTTGTGTATACGTCAAATGTTTATCTATCTCTATGAGGTTGAGATAAGGTCTGCATACACTTTAACCTCCCGAGATCCCACTTGTTGGACTACACTGGGTATTATGTTGTTGTTGTTGTTCATCATATCCATTGACATAGGTCTGCATACATCCTTGTTAGAATCCCTTGCTCTGCCTCTGGTCATTCAAGCGTTGTTAAATCTTTCTCTTAGAATATCTAAACCCAAAATGCTGACTTATTGGAGCAAGGGGGACCTTAGAGCTATCTGTAGTTTACAAAATATTTCAAGTTAGAATGGGAATAAAGGAACTCTTTTGGGTTGTTATTTGCTGCTCCTTAGTTGATTTCCTTTTTCGACCCCTAATCCAACCTCTTAGTGCCATTTGGTTCAACGAATTAGGTGGGCTATCCCGGAACAAATTTTGTGATTAAATTTATCCCGTGTTTGGTTGGAGGTATTAGCTAAAATTAGTATTATTGTTTACCAAAATCTTAGTATAACTTATCCCATATAGAAGGTGGATTAATTATAATCTTGAGATATCATGGTTTGAACCAAATGACCCACCCCTTAGGAGAGGTTTTTGTCCAAGCTATTATCAAGCGTGTCTGCAGAATAGCTAGTGCTTTTGAAGCTCATCTTCCAAGATGAATTGTACATCTATTCCTTTGATACCATATACATATGTTTATGCCTGCGGATTATAATGTGGATCATTTGGAAAGACAGAAATAGGAGGCTTTTGAAGGGGTGGAGATGAACTTCGCTCGATTGAGGAGTTGTCTTCAATCCCTTGTAGTTTTTTTGGTGCACCCGTGTAGTTCTTGTTTGTATAGAGGATTGGGTGGCTTTTGGAGAGAACCATATATTGTAGGTTTCTCCTTTTAGGTATATTTCTTGTATATTGCCAAGTTGGCCTTGATATTACAATGAAATACTTTAACTGAGAAAAAAAATTACAAAAAATTCCAAGTAACACTACTATCACAGTTGGGATATTTTCAAGACTTCACCAAATGTAGGATACTTTTCTATATCCAGATAGTCCGGGCTCGAGATGAAGCTAAGCATACACATCAGTCTTGTAAATATTTTGTATCCTCGCTAAGATGTGCATGGCATATTTCTGACAAAATAGCTCCCGATGGTTTTATTGTCTAGCTACACCTTGGCATGCATAAAGTACAATTAAGTAGCTTTCATTAAGGGTTTTTTTTATTTCCTTTTGTTTTTTCTTGCATCCTTTGACTTAGGTCGCTATAAATCTATCTATCTTATGAGTGTACCTAGTATGCATTAGTAGTACTGCAGAAATTTGAGGTTATGTATTCATATTGAAGTGGACATATGCATGCACAAAGCATCTTATAATATATTGATGAGGTTGCAATTTACCTTTATTAATTTTGTAATGCTTGAAAACATTAAAATAGCCTCTCTACCTTCATAAGATATGGGTAAGGGCCGTGTATCCACCCTCCCCAGATCCCACTTGTGGAATTACACTGGGTATGTTGTTGTAGAGAAAATTTAATTATAAACAAAAGACAAGAAATTCATGTATGGTATGCTCAATGCTGTATAATGTCAACTAATATGCGGTTTTTCTTATTCTTTGCAGTGTTGGTTTGTGTGGCTAACCTCTCAAGTTAACATCCTCCAATCATTTCTCTTTTGGTATTGGTACCAAAGACGGTAAGTATAGTTAAAACTGACCATTGGGAACATTGACATTTTACTCTGGTTGATAAGTAAACTATCTTCCTAGTTCCTACTTCTTAGGGGACTTCATAGTTCAAAAACCAGATTTCTTTGCCATAAGTCAGTGATCTCATAGGTCATGCGTTTGAAGACTTGCTCTTTCTTTTTTCGAGTCGTCTACCTCTTCTAAGACTCTAGCATGTCTTTTAATAAAATTATTGGGAAGTCCTAATAAAAAAAAAGTTTATTGTGAACTATAGAGCTTCACACCCTTGCTGGAGTGTTAACTTGGTAGAAATGGATAATCCATCAGATGACTTCTCTGGATATATCATGCAGCTTCCTGACGATTGTTTACTCTTTATTTTCCAACACCTTGACTGTGGATCTGACCGTGAATCATTTGGTTTAACCTGTCGTCGCTGGCTTCATATTCAAAATCTAAATAGAAGATCTTTACAGTTTCAATGCTCTTTCACTATGCTTAATTTTTCATCGTTATCTCAAACTAACACCCGAATCAGTACATTACACTTATATAGGCTTCTGAACCGTTTCCAGAACCTAGAATCATTGTCCCTGTCCGGATGCACCAAGCTTCCAGATTCGGGTTTGTCTTTGTTACCACGTCATGGATCGAAACTGCAAAGTCTTCATCTAGACTGCTGTTTTGGGATAACTGATAGTGGTCTTTCCTGTGTGGCATCTGGCTGTTCTTTGTTGGTAATACTAAGTCTTTACCGGTGTAATGTTACAGATTATGGGTTAGAGGCCTTATCTAATTCTTGCCTAGCTTTAGAAGATCTGAATCTCTCGTATTGCTCTCGAATCTCTGATTATGGCGTAAGAGCTATTTCACAAAACTGCCATCGTCTTAGAGCAATCAGGATATCCTACTGTAGAAATCTAACTGGTGCTGGCTTTCAAGGATGTTCTCAAACTCTGACTCATTTGGAAGCCAATTACTGTAGGCTTGAACCTAATGGAATACGGAGTTCCTAAGTGGAGGTGGTATTGAATACTTGAGTGTGTCTAACTTGACCTGGTGCACTCGTGTGAATGGTCTGGTAGCTATTAACGTCGGATTTGCTGCAAAGTTAAGAGTGTTGAATTTCCGCTCCAGCAGAACGATTGGCGATGATTGTATCATGACAATAGCAAAGGGTTGTCCATCGCTTCAGGAATGGAACTTAGCAATATGTCATGAGGTCAAGATAGCAGGTTGGGAATCTATTGCATCACATTGTCATAACTTGAAAACACTACATGTGAATCGGTGTAGAAATCTTTGTGACCGTGGACTGCAGGTATTGAGAACCGGATGCAAACATCTCTCAATTCTTTACATCACCAGAAGTTCTCAGATCAGTGGTGTAGCGTTGGAAAATTTTAAACTTGCTAGAGGTAATGTAGAGGTCAAAGAAGAAGAAGTAATGTGTATTTGCCCTCATGGAGCCTTCAGGTTTTAATAGGTGGCGATAATCTTCAGTTCTTAAGCTGTCATGTCTCAGCAGACATTCTGATTTTACAGACTCGTGAGGAGAAACTATCATCCCAGTCAATCCAATTCGGATTCCCTGGAACTGACGTGTTACTCACCCGTCCACCACTGGAAACATTGTTTCCTGTCCAACTTGATGGAAATGCACGACAGTTGTGCCCACTGCACACTAGTATCAAGCTGCGTATAATTTCTTGTAATGTTTTCTTCCCATAAGAAAAAAAGTGATTCTAATAAATGCATGTAAATACAATGAAACAGTTGCTTGGTGCCAATTGCAGAACCCACAATCAGAGGTGTAGCTCTTCATGTGGCATGTAGGCCACAATGCAGAACAATTGTTTGATGCATGATAAATGGAAGGATTGGTATAGAAGAATAGTAGGGAACGTTATAATTAGTAGAATTATCTTTTTCTTTATGATTTCTTAAGTAATGTGCAAATGAAAGTGATCAACTAATACGGAACAAAGAGAGTACTAATACTAAATACATAAATGAAAGAAAAGGTCAAATTTGCCTGTTAGGTAAAGCTCAATGCTGTCCTCCATTTTACTACGGTCCAAAATAACACTTCTCTACTGACTAATGTACAAGGTGGAAAAAAGGTGAACTACTTTTTCATGTGAAATTTTTCCTCTTCCCATATTTGAGTCCATTGTTACCCCTCTATTATTCAATTTAGATCCGTTTTATCTTTCTACTACTCTAACATGAAAGAATTCTACTCTGCGTTTGAGTAGTTGTGCATCCATGTAAAAAAAAATTGTCAGAGCTGCTGCATGAAGGTCTACGTATAACAAATAAGATATTCGTCAAATAAATTGAGAACTTCGCATTTGGTGAATTTACACAAATGATGTAACAATGAAACATCTTATCGCCAATCAATGGAAATCATACCACATCATTTCTAGAACGATGTTGTTCAGTCTCCAAAACTGACGTGCACATTGATCTATAACAACCTACAATCCCACACAAATATGGCAGGGGAAGGGGGTGGGGTGGGGGGGGGGAGTCGAGATTATTATTCATTTAAATGCAGCAAATCAATCCAGCACGGTAAGCTGATTGGCTTTACATACGAGTACACCAGCATAGCTCTTATATATACTGTAGCTTTCAACAAACTGCAACTTGTTGTCAACGGCTTCCGATGGTAGGTGACATTTGTAAGTCACTACTCTATATCACTGTGCATTATCACCCCACACATCGTTCCATGCAGCACCTGGAGCAGCCTTAGGTCCCTCGATAAAGTTCTGATTACCACGAGGTTGGTGAGGACCAGGAAGTGCATTAGGGCCATGAGGTGCATTAGCGCCTGGGGGATGAATTTTATTGGCCTTTGTTTTGACCCCCAGCAATCTCAGCACAAATCTTGCCAGCTCTCCATATAATAACCCTGAGCGATCAAACAGCTGTAAAAAATATGTTAATGAATTATCATGTCACCATCCTATATACTTTTCCACAGAGTATTTGGGTAGCAAATACAGAACTCCATAAGGTAGTTAAGGAGGTATTGGTTGTTCAAGAACTATTTGGATGCAAGGGATAAATAAGTGAACATATACCTGAAGGAGTGCCGACATGAACATGTGAAATGCCTGGGTATTCTGGTCTATCAACATTGCAACGCGGCCAAAGAAAGTTACAACGCCTTGCATCTGCCACCATTAAGTAAAATAATATAAAACAATTAATTATCAATGGACAGAAGGCATTAATGATGTCTATAGAGTATAGACTAAAATACCATATGTAACTAGCAGTTTCAAAAGCATCAGGTGGTACTCGAAGGACAGCCCTCTCTCTCCTCACACCAGAACCTAAAATACGATACGTAAATAATTATTAATTTCATTTGCACCTCCTTGAACTTTTTGTTGATTCAAAGAGGCCTGCAAGTTCTTAGATACGTATCGACAAACCTACTAATTGCAGGCTAGAAAACCATTAGCGTCAAAAAAGAGAGATATCACAATTTATAAAAGCTTTGGGAGGATCTATTTTTCATATCAAGTTAAACTTAGGGAGGATGTTATTATCAAAAACATTGGGATCTACCTATAATTCTTTTTTTCATAAACTAAAAGTATCTCATCACAGAAACCAGTGAGCTGCAGGAAGCTTTTGAGATTTCACAATAAATCTCCTTACATTTCTCCCCTTTCCTATGTGATTCTCTCTCTCTGTATTTTGGAGGCCTTGCTCTATTACCAATTCACTTGGAGCTAATTTTAGACTGTTGACCAATCCGAAAACAAAAATTCAAAAAGAAGGCCAGCACAGTTTGTACTGGAAGTGCAGGGCAAATGAGGGACTTGTACACATCAAATTCACTTTAGGGTCCCCGAATATAAGTATAGAACAGAAATAAATTTATTTGGTACTGTTAGAGCTTACCACATGCATGAAGGAGACCCAAAAGCCTGGTGGAGAAGGTGGAGCACCATATGGATTATTTGGATCTTGGTCCCCATAGGGTCCCATGCCCATGCCGCCCATACCACCCATACCGCCCATGCCATAACCTCCCATTGAGCCACCATACCCACTATTGTACATTCCTCCACCATACATGCCACCGCCTGCAAGTCCACCATAACCTCCTCTGTACATACTGTTTCCATACAAACCACTTCCGTATGTGCTTCCGCTTCCATAGCCACCACCATAAGAACCATATGTTCCAGTTCCATATCCAGAATTATAATTCATACCTGTATTAATACCTGCATAATGACCCAATCAAGCAAATAATGAGATTGGGTACTCTATAAAAAAGGACTTCAATTGCAATAACTAACTTCAATTACTAGATCAAAACTTTCAATGATTGAGAAAGTTTCTTCACCATAAAAGGAAACGAAAAGAGTATGTCCATAACAACATTTTGATTTGGCTCGGTAAATACAAAGATGCCATTCATACTTACAGAGGACAAAGTATAAATAAAGTAGGAATTGGGTTGCAAATGAATTAGAATCAAGTAGCGCTTGATTCCTACGAATGGACACATAAGAAGAGAAGGTATACTGACTAGCAGATCGCATAACAGTTCAATGAAACATTCAATCAGAGGTTAAGTTGATTTAATAGGTGCATTAACTAAGATGAGTTCCAAAAGAGGAATGTATAGCTGGAGTACAAACTTAGACAACCTAGTAATTCTTTTTTTAAAAAGAATTTTAAAAAAGGGCACTGGGCATACTTATAATGTATGAAAGAGAATCAAACAGTATGATAAAATCGGAATATATTTAGGAAGAACTTGCCTAGTTAATGATGGCGTGCATGATTACATATCATGTATTGCATTATAATCCTGAAAAATCATATGCATGCACTCCAAAAAGCAGATATCATAATACACATCACTCAATAATCAACCTTTTGATGCTAGGGGACAAACATTCAGAACAAACAAGTGGACCTTAAGGATAAATTAGTTGTTATACTAACCAAAAGAGGCTTTTAATGCAAGGTTACTAGTATTTATAATATCAAGAGTGAACCTTAAGGATATAAAAGAATACAAATAGTTATTTACAAACCACAAAACAGCTGTGCTAGTGAAAAAGGCATCAACAGACATGTTTGTAATAATGGATTTCAGACAGCCAACCCTCTTGCTGGAAAAACAGAACAGGCACAAAAAAGAGCAAGAGGGAAAATTAACTAAACATCTCATACCTCCGTATGAGCTACCGTAAGTTTGCTGCTGCTCCCAAGGTCGAGTAGGTACAGGCCTTGCAAGTGTGCTATTATTAACAGCTGTATTCCTATTAGCAGTTGAAACAATCTCACCAGGCCTGGCTGTTCCAGATGCCTCTACTACGTCACTCGTGCTACCAGCAGAGGGGGGCTTAAAAGGTGCAGGGCCTGAAGAAGAACCAGCTCGTTCCCAGGGTTTTGGAGGTGGGCTACTACCTGCCGTGGAAACAAATGTCAAGTCAATAATACTCGAAAGAAAGTAAAAAGTAGAAAAAATGAGTTGGTCGAGAGTAAATTGTTTCTGTGAATACAACAATTTATCATTTCAAATACATATCTACTGTGAGAAACCAATAACATGTTAGATAGCCTTTAAATATATCTAATTAAACTGACCAAATAAATACATAGCAACTATTATTGTAAACAATAACTTTAGCAAAAATATGAAATTCTTTCTACCTAATTATTAATCTATAAAAAAAAAGGGTGTAAGAAATTGCTCGGTATCAGCTGCTAGAAATAATAGCTACACAGTATGTTTAACGAAGTTGCTTTGATTTAAATTTACTACTTCTTGTAATTATCAAATTGTAGGGTAGCCAATCATCTTATCAAATATCAACCGGAAAAGACATTTTAAGTGACTAATGGATGGCTCTAGTAGTATTGCATACTACTTTCTCTCTTTGAACACACAACTCTAATTTTTTTTCATGTCAGCTCCATCACTTAATCCTAAACTAGCTGTACTCAGCTATATAAATCCTTTATATTTATTTTGCTCTATTCTCGCCATTTCATTCCAATACTTAGTAATTTGACTTCTTGGACAACTCCAAGGAAAACGAAATTTCCCGTGAAAAAACTAGAGGCTTTATCAGAACCACATTAGATACAAGTATGGGAGACAAGATTAACAACTAAATTCTGCCCACCAGAAAATACAAATGTTGGCATCACAGAGTAAATTAAACATGTTTGATTGATCCCATTAAATCCAATACCAATTTTTTACACTTCAATGACAAATTAGTTTATTAATTCTGTATCTACTCTGCCTCAATTCAGGTGAAAATCATTCCAATATTAAATAACTGATCTTTTTTAAGACAAATTAGATTTCTTCTCAATATTTTATTTTTAATACATGTGGTGTCCTGACCAGCTTGCATGCACCTCCACTACCTCCCAGCAATGAATGGGAAGAAATCACCTAGTGTTTTTGTATCTGTTAGGAACTTAACCCGAGACCTCACTTCAACCACTAGAACACACCCTTGGCTGCTTTTTTCTCTTCTTTTTTTCAATGACAGTGGCGCCCATGCCAGCTTACACACCTCAGCTATTCCACCTCATACCTGATATCTCCCACCAACCCAATTACCAGATAGCTCTGCCCCCCTCGATGAGTTTACTATCGAAATTTGCACGGATATAAACGTAATTTAATCAGATAATTGGCACTTGACAACCCCCAAACATATGCCCTAACAACAATGAAACTCAAAATTGACCACGAGAGATCAAAATCCAAATCCCAAAACAACAAAAACTTTAGGTGATCTCCTTCAATCTATTCATTAAATTAGTCGCGGTACACGACAAGTAGGCCAAACACTATCTAAAAAAGGGCAATTGACAAAAATAAAACTAAACCCGCTAACGAAAAGATCAAAATACAGAGAGATTATGCAAACCTGACGGCTGTGGCGGTCCGTTTTCCATCAAATGGATCGAGGAGGAAGAAGAAGAGCCGCCGTCGATGACCGCTACGACGGAGAGAGAAAGTAGAGAGAGAGAAAGAAAAGAGAAATTTGGTAAGGGGAAAAAATTAAGCCTAGAAATTTATTAAAAAGCGATTTTATCTTTTCTTTGAAAGTACCAAGAAAATTCAGTTGACGTAGTAATTGACCATACTACCCTTCTAACCAATAATGACTCGGTGCTGTATATCCGTGCAAATTAACGTAAAATTGGGAGAAAATAAACTTACTTCGCCCCATCGCTAATTCTGTGTGTGGAATTGTTCCGCGGCGGCTTGAGAAAGACGAAATTATAAGAAAACCCTAAGTTGCTCCCATGGTGAGGGTGGTGGTTCGACCACCCGACACCATTTGTTGAGCCCTTTCCACTGCTGCATTTACTGTCGAATTTTCTATTGCTAGAGATCTCAATTGCAGCAGCTATATGCTTTCCCTTGGTTAAATACGACTCTTGAAGTCTTCTTTTCTTAAAGAAGAATACTACCTAAAGCAATTTGGAGTTAAAAAGTTTGTATATGGGAAGATCAACTTCCTTACCGTTCGTTCTATTAGTCTTCTGCTTTAGTGTTAAATCTGCCGAAGAAGGAGGGGTGATTGTGGGTGGGTTCTTTTTAAAATAATTTTATTTTCATTATACTCCATCCGTCCATTTTTATTTGTCATGTTGTGTTTTTCGAAAGTTAACTTGACTAAATTTCAAAGTTAAATTAGATTGCTTTTTTTTTGTTTACCCTCCCTAGGAGCTCCCATCCCTTTTGCTTCATTCGCAACCTTCGGGTTGGAAAGTGAGGGGTGCTTACCATCCGAACAACTCTTTCTCGTCAAATTAGATTGCATTAATTTGATATTTAAACAAAAAAAAAAATTAGATATTCAAAAACTATACGAAAAGTACTATAAATTGTAAGTTTTTGCATATCAATATGATGTAAAATGTTGGTCAAAGTTTTTATAGTTTGATTCTAAAAAAGGATACTAGTCCTATATATACTAGTAGGAATATTTTTAAAATTATTAATTTTTTACGCGTTTTGATTTTTTTCGTTTCTTTCTTTTTGCCACGACATTCTTTTGGATGATATTAAATTCAAGTAAAATAAAATTAGGAGGGTAAATAAACGTACATGTAATTAAAATGCTTTTGTTTGAGAAAATGATATCACATACTCTCTTATAATTTGAATAATATATCATGATGCTATAAATCTTTTTAATTTAACTATTATATTCTTTTGAACTAAGTTTCCCCGGCAAAAAAATTATAAATTAAAATAACATTTATAATTTATAAATAATTGACTATAAAAATCTACCCAATGTCCATTAGCCGAAAAAGGAGGGGTGATTGTGGGTGGGTTCTTTTTAAAATAATTTTATTTTCATTATACTCCTTCCATCCACTTTTATTTGTCATGCTGTGTTTTTCGAAAGTTAACTTGACTAAATTTCAAAGTTAAATTAGATTGTTTTTTTTTTTTTTACCCTCCCTAGGAGCTCCCATCCCTTTTGCTCCATTCGCAACCTTCGGGTTGGAAAGTGAGGGGTGCTTATCATCCGACACATGTATACAATTAGCCATTTTATACATTTCGATATAAAATGTGTTTGTATAAACCGAGAGAAAAGTGCATATATAAATACAAATACATATATTTTTGTCCTATATACTTATAATTATACAAATACAGATCTTATTATACAAATTACAATGTATAAATGAATTTATACACTGAACAATTTGTATAAAATTAGATGTTTGTAGCGAATTATACAAATCAAAAGCTCCATAGCAAACATAAAATTTGCTATGGAGTGCAATTATGCAAACTAAAATCCATTAAATTTGGTGGAATCCAAATCCCAAAACGTCCTGATACATAGCGTTTCGATTTCGAATACATCCATCAACGTCCTAATACATCGCGTCTCAGATTTTGGATACATCATTCAACGTCCCGATACATTGCGTAAGACCGTAAGTGATGTATCTGATTGGTACATCACGTAAATTGATGTATATGACTGATACATCGCGTAAAATAATGTCCGATACATTGCGTATGTCTCGATACATCGCATAAAGTGATGTATCCGACTGATAAATAATGTAAAATAGGGATATTTGTAATTTGTTTAAATGGTAGGAAATTTTAGATTATATAGTAAAACATGTTGTGTATTTAAGTGATTTTTCCCTTTTTATGATGTAAAAAAATAAAAATTGAGGGTAAGGGGAAGGAAATTGAAAAGAGAATTACGAGGTGGGCAAATGAACTTTCACAAACAAAAAGTATATGAATTATTTTTTTTGAAATATACAACTTGCATTATTTGTTGTATATAGTCTGGTCAAAATAAACAATTTACATATAACTTATTTATACATTGGAATAAATAATAATTTCGCTTGAATAAACTTTAAAATTCTAAGTTTTGAAACTTATTTATGCCTATTAATGGAGCTTTTAATGAAGTTTACAACTTTGTAATAACTTACTTAATTAGATAAAGAATTCTCAAAATTTACTATAGGAGTTTGATTATACATATTTGAGCAAATATTACTGATGTTTCAATGTTTAAAGAGTAGAGCGATTAAATTTAAGGGTGTATTATGCATAGTGATTTCTAAAACTCAAATGAAGGGTTTATTGTGCAAAATGTGTGCTACGAGAGATTAGTTTATGATCGATTTAAATTTAATGGATTTAATATTTAATTGATAATGGTTTTGATTTTTTTTCCTATGACATTATCGGTTCTTAACGGTTTGAATAAACACGAAAACAATCAGATGATTAAATAAATAATGAAAAAAGAATATTAATATTTTTCAAAAGTTTTTTTAATGTTATAATTGTAAGTCTCATGTCAGCATGCGCCTTAAAAGACTAATGTCAGCGTGCGCCTTACAAGGAATATGTCAGTGTGCACCTTCCATCGACATCCATCCTTTCATTCAAATGTTGCCCTTTTGGTTTGATTTATATAGATTGGAGAACTTTTAATTAACATCAGCATCAATAATGTAAGTTGCAAATTGATTATCAAAAGAAATCATACTAAATTAACCCAAGTCATCATCATATAATTTAGTCATTCTCTTTTTTATTTTTTATGTACAAAAATAGAATATGAGTCAATTGTATTCAAACAACCCAACTCCAGGTCATTGAGTTCTTGAAGTTGTCAAGTCATTCAATAATAGATCGGATAAACATAATTTTCTAATAATCATTTGATATTTGCTCAGTAGAGACATGTCGCGGGAAGTAGAAGGTAAATGGTAGGTTGGTAAACCCTAACAATGAATCACATTCACTAGACAAGAAACTCAATTCCGCACAATTATTTCCTTGTATAATCTGAGGAAGCACATGAAAAACCAACAACACCAAAAACTGTCCAGAAATTTTTGAATAAAATCATCTCCATCGTCTGAAATAGTTT